TATATATAAATTAAAAAGGAGATCAGAATATTGAGAGGAAGTTGGGGAAATGTGGGAGGAGTTTGAGGGGGCTGGAAATGATATAAATACAGTACTCATGTATGAAATTCTCACAAAAAAATAGGACCAGGCATGGTGATGCATGCCTTTAATTCTAGTAGTTGGGCAGCAGAGGCAGGCATATCTCTGAGATCAAGGCCAGCCTGGTCTACATAGCCAGGTCCAGGTCAGCTGGAGCTATGGGAAAACCCTGTTTCAAAACAAACAAATAAACAACAATAATAAAATTGCCAATTGGTCTAAGGTCAAAACTTAAAAGAAAGCACAGTAAGACAGCTTAGTTTGTAGAAGGATCTGTTGCCAAATCTAACAACTGGTGTTCAATCTCTGGTACCTATGTGGGGAATAGAGAACTGACACCTGCAAGTTCTCTGACCACATACACACAAAATAAAAATATTTTTTTTAATTTAAAAGAAACTAAAACTCAGTTCTGATTTCTTTTGGGGGTAGATTTTAAGAATTCATTTAAAAAATATTTTTATTGAGTTTTTTGTGCATTCCATTAAATTTTGATTAAGATCTATCATGATACCCTCCTCATCTGTGGCCCCCATATCCCCACCCCCAACCAGATTTCATGCATTCATATATGTTAAGGCCTATCTAGTCAAGCATTTGTACCCAGATGTCCCTCAGCGCAAGTTCATCCACTGGAGTCTAGTAAATCTACCTAGAGTCACTTCCTTAAAGATCTACTACCCCTCACCCAGCAGTAATTAGTTACCAATAGTTTCTCAGCTAGGCTTGGGGCCTATTGCCCATTTTCCCTGTTCTACAATGGGTTTCTGTCTGATTGAGTTGGTGTGGGTTAAGTGCATGCTATCACCATTGTTGCAAATTCATATGAGCAAGTTCCCAGTGGCCTGAAAGCCTCTGTTTCCCCATGTTCATGCACTAACCCTGTCTCTTAACAAACTTTCTTCCACCTCTTTGCAATGGTCCTTGAGCCATGGATAGGTGAGGTTTAATACAAGAGTCCTATCCAGGGACACATACTCTGCAGTCTCCTGTTCTCTAAAACTTATCCAGTTGTAGCCTCCTGTGTGCATCACACTCTGTAGAGGAATGAAGTTTCATTGGTAAGAGTTGAGAGTTCTATTGGTAGTCTCTCTACCCTCTGTTCTACTATTTTCCATAAGCCTTAGGAGTAGAGGTTCCACTGTAGATGTGCCACTTAGGACTGGGGATCTCTCAGACACATATTCTCTGTGTGACCAATTGTGGAACCCTGTAATACAGTCCCATACATGTATAGAATGAATTTTAATCATTTTCACCCCTTCCCCTTTACTCTCTTTCATCCCTCTCCCTTTTCCACTGAAATTTTCAAGCAGACTCCCTTCTGCCTTTAGGTCTTTTTGTGTATGACCCACTGGGCTTAATTAGGGATGTTTGAATAAGCATGGGTGGGAGGTTATTTACTGGAGCATGGGCAACTAATTTATCAGAAGAAAGCTATCTCGAGTGGATTTTTTGAAGCAGGGTCTTATTCTGTAGCTAACGCCTATTTAGAACTCACTGGGTAATCAGCCTGGCCTCATACTTAGACATTAATCCTTTAGTCTCACCCTCCTAATTGCTGAGATTACAGGTATGAGTGACTACATCCAAGCTTTTATATAAATTTTATAGACTCTATCAAATAGGGTTTAGTATTTGAGACTAAAGTGTTAATAAAGTAAACCAGTTTATACTTTTAAGATGATAATGTTAAATGCACGTGCTGTATATAATTTTGTCTTATGAACTTAAAAATATGACAATTTTTAAATATTTCTGCAAAGTAATATAATTTATATTATCATTAATTATGACTATCTATAAATAACCAATTATGTTTTATGGAAGATTATTTAATAAAACAGAGGTCAGTTACCAACACGCTATGTTAAAAATAAAGCTCAAAATACAGTACCTTGCAGTTCCCAGACTTTCAAAGGCATCATTTCTTTGCTGCTCTCAATCAGGTACTTTTGGAATATTGTCAGATTATCTTTAAGATCTGAATATATTTTTCTACATTAGAATATGAAGCAATGTTAACTGTCACCATTTATCACAAATAATTATACAAGCAATATACTTCTAAAATTCTTTTCAATGATTAGACAAAGCTATTCATTAGCATTAATAAAATGTGATACAGCTGCATCCACAGTGTCCATATATGTGTCTATACATATACATGTACATAAAACTAAACTCAATCTGGAGGAATGTATTTTCAATTCTAACACCACGTATAGAGCACGCAAGGAAGAGAGCAGGATTACCAATTTTTAAGTTTTATTGTTGTTTTGATGTTTCAAAAATTGGAAGTATTGGTTTTATACTTTACAAAATCCTAGCTTAGACACTGGTAAGTGGGTAAAAAAATCCAAACCCAACCTAAGGAACTTTTGGCAATTGATGGCTGCTGGGAGGGGACAGTGTTTTATAGGGATGGGAGTCTTGTGGGTCTAGCAGATAGACTCACACTGAAGGACATTTGGGGAGACAAATCAGACTCTATAAGCTGTATCATATATAGAAGAGAGTACATTAAATTTTGTGAGGAGGGCAATGGGAGGAGGTGAAAGTAGGGAGAAGTGACTTAAATACCATCAAACTATATTGCATAAAAATTACAAAAATTTAATATAAAATTAAAGATAGAATCTATTTAAAATATTTTTACTGAGTTTTTGTGCATTTCACACAATAGTTCTGAATCAAATTTAGATCCCATTCCCCATCCATGCCCCCAACTTATTTACTTATATTTTACGTCTCTATGTGTTTGGCCTGCATGGAAGTACACCTACGAGTCGCAACGCCTATGGAGACCAGAAGAGAGCATTGGATCCCATTTAACTGTATTTAGAAATGATTGTCAGCTGCCAAGTCGGTGTTGGGAAGCAAATACAGGTCCTCAGCAAGAGTTCTTAGCCACTGGGTCATCTTTCCAGCCCACAAAACAATTTTATGACAAAAAGTCTTCCCACAAACTTCATTTGATCTTAACCAAAGGCCAAGAAGATTCTTCTTATGCAACCTTAAAGTTTGTTTTGTTTCTTAAAAGTTCCATCTTTGACTTTTATAGAAAGCTTAAAGAAGGTAACTTTGTCCAATATTAAATATATGTAAGCATCTTTTAGTGGATCAAATGGTAAGGTAGTAGAATGGCATTTTACTATACACATTATAGAAGAATTTCTTTACTGTTCATGAATCAAGACACAAGTATGATCTTATTTAAAGAGAATTCTTTAAAAATTTATCTAGCTAGCTTTATTTTTATTTATTTTTATTTTTTCCTTTTAAAAATGATTTATTGAGAATTTCATACATGCATATAAGGTGTTTTGATCAAATCCATGCCCACTCCCTCCCCTCCAACTCCTCCCATATCTCCTCATCACTTTTTTCTGATAACTTCATGTACTCTTTCTTCTTTATTTTTTTATGGGGCTTCTGGCTACTCTAACATTTCACCCTCTGAAGAGATAACCTTAAAATCTTTTAAGGATTAGATAAAAGCTCCCAAATATTTCCGACAGTTTTGGTCTTTCGAATGGAGTACGGTGCTAAGAGGCCTAAGCACATCGTGAGTTATAGTCAAGAAACTGGCTACTTTTCTTTGGGTTTTTTTTACCCTAACTGCCTAGCCAATCTTGCTAACTTTTAAAACACATATTTTCAATATAAATATAAAATATTTTCAACAGTCAGTAGAAATGAATTAAGAAGAGAAATTATTTAGACTCAGTAGGCCTTAAAAAATGAGAGGACATGAAATGAGGGGTATAAATAGGTAGGAATGGATTTCAGAGGAGATGAAGGAGGGGCACTGAATATGGTCAAAACAGCTACACATCCGACAGAGGATTAATATACAGAATATACAAAGAACTCAAAAAAGAAAGAAATAAGAAAATAAATGACCCAATAAAAAAATGGGGGATAGACCTAAACAGAGTTCTCAAGTGAAGAAAAATGGTAAGAAGCACCTTAAAATGTGCTCAAACATCCTTAGTAATTAGAGAAATGCAGATAAAAACCACTTTAAGATTCTATCTTACCCCCACCAGACTGGCAAAAATCAAGAGAATGAAAGACTTCAAATGCTGGAGACGATGTGGAAAAAGAGGAAAGCTCATTCACTGCTGGTGGGAATGCAAACTCATGCAACTACTATGAAAAGCACTGTAGAGAACCCTCAAAAAACTAAAAATGAACTTACTATATGATCCAGTCACACCACTCCTTGGCATATACCCAAAGGACTCATCATATCACAGAGATACCTGTACATCCATGTTTGTTGCTGATTTCTTCACAATAACTAAGAAATAGAAACAACCTAAATGTCCCTCAACTGACTAATGATTAATGAAAATGTGGTACATCTATACAATGGAGTTCTATTCAGCAGCAAAAAAAGATAAAATTACAAAATTTGCAGGCAAATGGATGGAGCTAGAGAATGTTCAAGTGAAGTAACACAAATGCAGAAAAGCAAGTGATATATGTTCTCCGTCACTTGTGGATTGTAGCACCAAACCCTTATAAGTGAGTATATAAGTTCTTATGTAACACCAGGAGCCAGGAAAAGGGAAAGGATACATGGAGGTAAAGGAAAAGAACAACCTGAAAGGAGGATAGTAGGGAACAGATGTTCCCTGAGGGAGGTGAAAAAAGTGGGAGTAAGCAGCAGGGAGGAAAGGAGGGAAGAACATGCACGGGGCCATGGTTTAGGGGAGAGGAGGAAGTCAGAAGAGGAAGGACGGTGGGAGTTGAGAGGTATTGGGGGGAGGGTGGGTATAATCGGGGCACTGTGACTAGGGAGGGATGGAGGAGGGAAGCCTGATAGGAGAAAAAAGTGGAGATGAGTGAATCTTGGGGGTCTAGGAAAGCGATGCCCTTGAAACCCTATGAGAAATGCACATACAGTGACTGAACATGAATGCATATGTATACCTGGGAGCTGCTTGGCAGGGATCAGAGGGCCAGACAGATGAGACCTCCCTTAGAGCGGTATATGGAGGTGGTCCAGGAGACTCCCAAAGTAATACAAGATATTGCCAAACCTCTTGGTTATCTCCCAGAACTAGTAAATAAAACCCTGCTGTTGAAGAAAGAACATACTTGGGGTACAGGACTTGAAACAATGGAGTGGGAACTGATCTGGAAGCCGTCTAACAGAAGTTTGGCTATCAAAACACTAGATGATGATATGCAAACTGCCAAGGGAGAATAACAATGGTCCATCCCAGCCCTGAAGCCTAATAACCAAGGCAACTGGCATGGAAAACTACCTCTATTGGTATAGTAGTGGCACTGTTAACAGGGGGGCAATCAACAGCTCTCTAGTTGGACTTATAGCCCTCTTGGTGGGAGGGAACTCATGGGTGGCACTGTAAACTCAACCAAATACACATAGCAGGAGAGGACAGAGATCCTGGAGAAAACCTATCTCTTTCATATCTCAAGACAAAAGAAACTTCTTACTATATGCTAAATATTGATCCTTTATTACAGACAAACATTCTATACAGGACTCATCAAAGAAGCTTCTTTTTGCAACAGATGGAGGCTTCTGAAGAACTGCATATCTGGTCAGGCACCAAGAACATACATTTGGGAGATGCCCAGTGCCAGGTGACACATCTGCAGTTGAATCTCTATAACTAACACTCATGGATCATAGAGGAATAATGGGTAAAGAGAGGGTTAATGCTTCCCTCAACTTTCACCAGTGAGGCTTCCTTGTACAGCAGAATGTGATGCACACAGAAGGCCACAACTGGCCAAGTTTTGGAGAATAAGAGACTGTAGCATGTAGGATGGGACTCCTATATGGAACCTTACCCACTCACAGCTCAGGGACCATTGTAGAGGAGCGGGCAGACAGATTTTAAGAGCCAGGGCTGGTTCATGAACACAGCAAGGCAGCAGCTTCCTGGCCACTGGAGGCTTGCCACATGTGAACATGTGGCAGTAGTGATGTCAAGAGTGGGACCCATGTCAGTTCAAGTAAACAAGGGCCCAAAGGAGAGGTGAGAAATAGGTGGTGGGCCGGCACTAGACTCAGAATTATTTGAGACTGATTGCTGCTGGGTGAGGGAGAGTATGACTGACATACTATCACTGGATGGGCTGACTAGACTCCAGTGTACACGTTTACAATGAAGGACATTTGGGTACAGACACCTGAATGAATAGGACTTAGCATGTATGGCAGAATACATGGGGTTTGGTGGGGGGATAGGGGATGCATGGATGGGGGAGGGGCTCTGGATTTGATTGGGAAATACATGAAATTTAAAAAGCTCAATAATAAAAAAGAACATGAAAAAATACATTGTATGAAATTCTCAAAGAATAAAAATATTATTTAAGGGACTGGAGAGATGGCTCAGTAGTTAGAGCACTGGCTGCTCTTCAATCAGTATGGCAAAAAAGGGGAGTATATTTTTAATTATTAAATGGTTACTTATTTGAGTTTAAGAAATTAAGACCAGATGTTAAAAGGGTTTAACATGGAAATCTATGACAAGGAAATTTAGGGAAAATGTTCTTTTCCTGAGGGGCATAAATTTCTTAAAGCTTCTCCATGATTTTTGTAATTCATTAGCTCTATGTCAGGTACTATAAACTATTTAAAAATTATAAGTATTAGTTAACATTATTATTAGGACATGTATTTTAAAAGTAATCTTTTGTATATGTGCGGGTGTTTTGGGGGTATCCATTCTGGTGTATATGCACCTGTGTGTGAGGGTACGCGATCCTATGCGCACACATGAGGAGGCCAGAGGAGGATGTTGGATGCCCCGCTCTAGGAGTCTCCTCCTCATTCCCTCACTGAACCTGGACCTAGGCTGGCAGCCATCAAGTCAGCATTCCTCTTGTCTCCACCTTGTATAGCACAGGGGTTAGAGGAGCATGTGTGGTCACATTGACTTTATTAAATTGAGAAAAAATTTAAAAATAGTACTAGTCTTTAGTATAGTTCTAGGAAACAGATACCTTCACACACTAGTATGATTTGTAAGTAAAGTTTAGGAGGGAATTTCCAAGTATGTGCCAAAATGCAAGAAATATATCTTGAATTATCATTTTTTCCTGAAACTTGCACCATGAAAAATTGGAGATGTACAAAACCTGGTACAGAAAAATACTCAATGAAAACATTGGAAAATAATCTAAAGTCCTATTGTACGGGATAGTTCTTTCATAGAATGTGAAAAAAGCAGTTGCATAGTAAAATTCCATTATGAAAAACAATATGCTCGGAATACATTTATTTTAGCTATAAATTATACACAGAAAGGTTGGAAAGATATATACTAAAACATGATGGTAGTGAGAGTAATCTTTCAGTTATGCAATTAGTGATTTTTTTTAATTTTATGCTTTTGCTTCTTTGCTTTCTCACATCAATTATATGTTAATTTTATAGGAAATAAAGACAATATAAAGTGGTATGTATGTAAGTTGATATGTATACAAAAAAGAACACATGTCAATATAACATATCAAGTTAACTCCTTTAAAAATAAAAGGGCAAAACAAAACCAATTTTATTTCCATTCATACTCACTTTAGTTTCCCAAAAAGAAATCCTTGAACTTCATCTGCTTCAGTCTCATCTTCTATAGTAGTATTAGTTACAGCTACATTTTAGGGGGAAAATAAAGAAACACGTATTTTTAGGCTGGGTAAAGAATATGTAATAAAAAACTGGAACTCTCAATGAAATGAATTCCATTTGTTTTACATTACTTTTCCTTCATGGGCAAGCATAATGTACATGCATATGTGTAGACTTATAGTCTGAAATGTGTTTTCTTTTTAAAAATTGGCTTATATTAACAAATATTTGATAACCATAATGAATATTATATAAATTATTTCACAGACAGTTTCTAGTTTATAGCCCAATATGATGAGACAAAGCACCCATAACAGATACTGGTTTTGGGTCTAATGGGAGATCCATGCCTGAATAAATATGAATTCCTGTATAATTTAAACACTCTTAAAGATAGTTAAGGGATCTTTGGAAAGATACTATACCTCAAGGCCTCCAAGAAAAATGATAAAACATTTTATACTCATTTCCCTTCTTCCTACTAAATAGTGTGGTGGGTGGAATATGGGAAGGTGTAATGGTTTGCTCTTCATCAGAGTGTTATCAGCTCTCAGCAACACTTTCCTCTTCTTACTTTTCTGAAGCTCTGGGTTTCAAGGACTGCAAGCAAAAACCCTGGTGCTCTGATTTACATATGTATGGGTCAAATATTTGTTTAATTCATTCATTGTACAAACATTTGCTGTCTACTATGATTTCTGATGAGACAGATAATGGGGAAATATACAAATGGTAAATACCCTACTTGGTAGGAATGGAGAAAGACAAATGGACTACTTTAATAAAATGAGTAAAACTTTTCTAAAAGAAGGCCCAGAAATACAGGGAATAGAAAAGGAAACAAAACAAACTTTAACAGAATAGGAAAACAGGTAAACATCTCTGAGGTACATTATGTGAGCCTTGGTAGATAAGTAAGTGAAAAAATGAAAGGCAAAAGAAGGGAAGAATCCTGAAGACAGATGAAACCGCACATGCCAAGGACTTATCCAAGATGCTCTGTGTAGCCCAAGTATAGAGGTATCCTAGGAACAAAATTATTCTGAAGAGTAGGTTAGTGTTTCATGACTACAAGGTAGAAAGGTGATAAAGCAGGAGGAGAACAGCAATGGGGGGCTGGTATAGAAAGCCATGGAAAACTTTGTTTGCAAAAGCCATAATACCTGAATGTAAGAAGGGGGTTACAGGAAGCCAGTAAGGATTTTAACCAGTGGAGTCATAGTGTGAAATTTTCACTTTAAGTTCTTTCTGGAAGCACTGTGGAATACAGATTGATTAATTTATTTTGGAGAGTAGGAAAAATGAGGGTTCTGAAGACCAAAGATCAGAAAGATGAATAGCTAAAAGTTTGATACCCATATAAAGATAGAGAAGAAAACAGAAGAGAACCAACAAAAAACTGTAAACTAGAATGGAGAGGAGAAAAGTATTCTAAATGTATGTAAAAGGTAAGATACTAAATTATAAAACATTACATATATATGTTATATAAAAACATAAAGACTGGGCATTGTTCTACTACATGCTTTCAGTAACTACAAAAAATTAAATTCCAGTATGTATAGGTCTTCATTTTGAGCACACGCTATAGAAGCAGCCAGAGCTCAGCGATTAGGATCAGATTCTGAACAGGAAAAGACAAGTGAAGCTGAGGTCACAGCTGAGTGCATGCAAAAGAAGGAACTCAAAATTTTTAACTAAGAACTAGCACAAATAACAGGCGAGCAAGACCATAAAAGATTTCCATAAAAGTTTTGAGAATGAGGTCCTGCCCACCATGTCTTTATTCCATTCCTCTCACCCACCCCCAACCTGTCCCCTGCCAGCCTTGGACCCAGTCAGGCTCCAATTCCTACACCTCAGATCTCTGGACTAGCTTCCTAACCCAGACTAGTTAACACCCTAGCATAGACTGCTAAATCCCTCCTCAGGGGGTCCCCACACCCTTATCTTCCCTGGCTCCTGATCAGCTAGACAGGCCTATCCACTGAGGACTCTGGTAAGTCAGATCCCACCTACCATATCTCTATTCCATTCCTCTCACCTACCCCAACCTGTCCCCCTGCCCCAGCCTTGGACTCAGGTGGGCTCCAATTGCTCTGCCTCAGATCCCTGGACTAGCTTCCTAACCCAGACCTGCTAAACTCCCCAGCACAGACCTCACTGGCTCCTGATCTGTCTGACACAGACCAGCCCTCCTACTAACCTGACCAACCTATCTACTACTATCCTGTCCCACCACCCACCCAGACCAGTCTACTTTCCTGAAAGAATTTGAAACACACACCAATTTATTTCCCATACCTGAACAAAAAGCAACAAAGCTACATAAACAATAAAAACAGAACCAAAATTAAATAAACAAAAGTAGAATAGAAGTTCCTACTGGACACATAACCAACAAAGAACATCTATATGCCCAAACAGCAGTGCAAAAACACAAATAATATGAAAAACAAAGAGAATATGTCCCCAACAAAACCCACTAGTCCTACAGCAGTGCACTACAAAGAGAACCACCCTGAGGAACCCCAGGATGCAGAATTTAAAAGAACAATCATAAACATGATCAAAGAACTTAAAGAAAACACAAACAAGTCAAAGAACTCAAAGAGGAATGGCATAAACTTGTGATGGGAGTCCAAGAATATACAAATATGCAGCTTAATGAAATATCAAAAACAATCCATGACTTGAAAAGTGAACTGAGAAAAGAGAGATAGTGAAGAAAGCCCAAACAGAAATGAACACAGGATTGAAATATCCTACTATCTTCAATAGACACATCAACTGGACAAAGAATAAACAGAGACATCTGAATTAAATGACATCATACATAAAATGGACCTAACAGACATCTACAGAATATTCCACCCGAGCACCAAAGAATATACATTCTACTCAGCAGCCCATGCAAGTTTTTCAAAAATTGACCACATTCTGGGATACAAAACAAACCTCAACAAATACAAAAATTGAAATAATTCCATGCATTCTATCAGACCACAGTGCAACAAAGCTTATAATCAATAGCAAAAGAAGCTCTAGTAAGTACAGGAACTCATGGATATTAAACAACACACTCCTGAATGATGAATGTGTCAAGAAATTAAGGAAAGAATAAAAGTATTTCTGGAACCAAATGAAAATGAGACTACAACACAACAAAACCTCTGGGACCCCTTAAAAGCAGTCCTAAGAGGAAAGTTTATAGCTCTTGGTGCCTACGTTAAAAAAATCAGAAAGAGCACATGTAAATGGTTTAACAGTGCAACTCAAGATTCTGGAAAGGCAAGAACAAACCAACCCCAAACCTAGTAGATGAGAAGAAATAGCAAAAATCAGAGCAGAAATTAATGAAATAGAAACAAAGAAAACAACACACAAAAAAACTAAGATCTGGTTCTTTGAAAGGTTAAACAAGATAGACAGACCCTTAGCCCAGTTAACCAAAAGAAAGAAAGAGCAAATCCAAATCAACAAAATCAGAGATGAAAGGGGAAACATCAGAAAAAAACACCAAAAAACAAAACAAAACAAAACAACCCCCCCAAAAAAACCAAAAACCCAGAACACTGTCAAGAATACTTTAAAAATCTATACTCCATTAAATTGGAAAATCTAAAGAAATGAATTTTTTCTAAAATCATGGACACCATCAAAGTTAAACCAAGAAGAGATCAACAGCTTAAACAGATGCATAACAAATAAGGACACTGAAACAGTAATACAAAGTCTCCAGACTAACAAAAGCCCAGGCTCAAACAGATTCACAGCAGGATTCTACCTGACATTCAAAGAAGATCTACAGTCAATATTACTTAAATTATTCAAAAAGACAGAAACAGAGGGAAAACTCCCAAATTCCTTCTATGAAGTTAGTTTCCTCTAATACCAACATGAGGTAAAGATACAACAAAAAAGAAAACCATAAACCCATATATTTTTTAAATATTTTATTATTTTTATGTATATGAGTGTTATGCCTGCATGTAGATAAGTGCACCCGTGTCATGCAATGCCTGCAGAGAACAAAAGAAAAAAGTCAGAACAGGGCAATTTTCAAATGTTCATATGAGAGTCCACTGGATTTCTTGACAAGGGCTCCCAAAAGCATCCCTCTATTGGGTTCTTCTTCATTGTTCTTTTGTCTTCCAAGGCTGGACTAGCAGCTGGGAAGAGTGGCTGGATACTCAGGCAAGGGTCCCCTGACCCTGCTTGGCTCTCCTTTAAATGAATGAGCACAACCATCAACAAACCCAATTGTGACCATGTTTAGTGATCAGGCTTAGCCAAAGTCGTGATGATGGTAGTTGTTATTTCATGCAGAAGGGACTGCTGTATAGCATCATCTTACTAAAAGAACCTGGAATTTAAAAGGATTTGATGCTAGGAGCCACATATGAGCCAAGTTGTTTGTTTTTCTAAGTCTGTGTTACTTCACTTAGTATAACAGTTTCTAGATCCACCCATTTACCTGAAAATTTCATTATTTCATCTTTCTTTACTGCTGAATAGAAATCCATTGTGTAAATATACCACATTTTTTGTTAACCACTATATTTTAAAGTGTATTTTATTTATTATTTTTATGTGTACAAGTGCATTGCCTGTGTGTATGTAAGTGCACCTGTGTCATGCAATGCTTGCGGAGGTCAAAAGAGGGTGCTGGATCCCCTGGAACTGGAGTTAGGACAGTTGTTAGCTGTCATGTGAGTACTGGGAATCAAACCCAGGTCCTCTGCAAGGGCAGCCAGTGCTCTTAACTGCTGAGCTATCTCTCCAGCCCCTAGACCCACACCCTTAATGAATATAGTTGCAAAGATATTCAACAAAATACTCACAAACTGCATACAGACACATATAAAAAAGATTATCCGCCACCATTAAGTTCGCTTTATTCCAGAGATGCAGGGATGGTTCAATATACATAACTCAATAAATGATGGACTTAAAGACAAAAATCACATGGTCATCTCAATAGATACAGAAAAGTCCTTTGACAAAATCCAACATGTATTC